ATACACGTAAGAATCCCATATACACAGCAGCATGCAGCCACATTACGGCTTTTGCAGAGAACGGCGTTCACAGCAGTAGCCCCCTCTCTCTGGAGGAGCTTGCCCTTGAGGTCATATGTGCCCCTACCTCAACGACCTTTTGTAAAATGGTAAAAACAGTCTTCTTTGGGAGAGCAGTTCGATCTGCCTAACAATAGCAGCAGTGTTTATTAACTGTATTTAATGGTTTTAATGGTTTGGTTTTATGACTATTTTATAGCAGTTTTGCCTGATTGTAAGCTGCCTAGAATCATAAGAGGAGGCAGCATACAGATGCTCATAAATTAATAAGGAAGATTTTTTCTCTCTTTTTGAAACCCAGGGTCCCTACAGCCACGTGTCTATTGATGCACATATAAGCTGATCTGTGTTTTAATGCATGGACAGGGCCCAGTCAGTCATTCTCTGCAAGTTTAGTATGAACATGCAGACAAGACCCCCTAGAAATGAACAGAGCAATCTGTCAGTGTGTCTTAAATCGAGACTCCAGCTGACAGAATTCCAAGCCACACCTGTGGACCTCATCAGAAGGACTGATTCAGTGGGTATCCCTAAACACTGTGAAATGTCAATGGGACAGCAGTGGAGATGCACACACTCTGTACCAAAAGGAGTCTTGATGTAATTGGATTCATCTCTGCTACTAGAGTTAAAGTTAAATAAGTATAGATAATTCCCCTCTTTATTCCTCCATTTTTGCTAACACACTTATTTTAAAAAATTGGGCAGACATTCAACTTACTCACCTGCTTCAGCAGGACAAACTCATTCTCTACGTCTGCTTTCCTACGAACCTCTTCTTTGTATCTTGCAGGATTTCAAAATGCAAAAGCAAGGCAGAGAAGAAAAGGAATCAGTTTAGTATAGTTCCTTCTTTTATTTGTTTGATTTATATCCTGCCTTTCTACTAGAAGTTCAAGACATTGGAGCACTCCTCCTCCAATTTTCCTGTAACAACAACCCTGTCAAGTAGCTTGGACTGAGTGAGAATAACTGGGCCAAAGACATCCGGGAAGTTTCCACAGCTGAGGGCAGCCTTCAACCTGGGTCACCTCAGTCCTAGCCCAGCACTTCAACCAATGTACCACCCAGCTCCACATTCTACAATACCTAATAGCGTTCATTTTGAATGCTGCCTGGGGAGAAAACTAACTACAGGTGTAAAAAGTACTCAGGCTCAAAACAAAACAGCACCTCCACTCCCAAATCATATTTTCTATTGTCCCAAAGGGCAGGACCAGAACTAGTGGGTGAAAATTATAAAGTAGGATGTTTAGGCTAGACATCAAGAGGAACTTCCAGACTGCATAAGGTGTGAGCCAGTGGAACAGGCTGCCACATGAAATGGTGCGTTCTTCTTTGGTAGAGGTCTTCAAACAGGCACTAGATGCTTATCTGCCAGAGATGCTGGAGTGTGTCACGCACTGAGCAGGGCGTTGGATTTTTAAGACAACTTCCAATTCTATGATTCTATGACATCACTTATACATGGTGTGGAAGTGGAATGACTGGATATGAGGGAATGTGGGGCCAGTGGTATCATTCCATTGATCCTCCAGCTAGTGGACATAATCTGAAGGGAGTGCTGAAGTTATCAAAAGCCTGATGTGATGCTGCCATGATAGGGATTCCCCTCCAGACAAGAAAATGGTCACTAAAGGTGTTCGGTATGAGGTGGGGAAAACAATAAGTCTGTACAACACTTCAGTTTCTATTCCAGAAAAATGGTTTCAGAGCATGCAGAGACATAAGCATAGCACCTCACTGCAATTCTTTAAATCTACACTTTTTCACACGGTCAAAGATGAGGCTGCTTTGAAGAATTGTGGACAGGAACAACATATGTATCCATGCATTCTGAAAAGCATTTGAGGATGGAATCTGAAGTGCTGCCCAACCCTAGTTGAAGGTAACTTTGCAATATGTTGAAATTGTCACCCATTTTCTATCATTAGCTATTGCTGAGGGGAGAGAAGGAAGAGAAGCAATATTTGCAGCCATATTCTCCAGGTTCCTCTTCTGTGCAAAGAGTTTTGAGGGGGATTAGAATCCTTTGGCATCCACTCATTGCAAGGAATAACCACAATGCATTATCAACCTTGTTATGGGATGGCTTACTTGCATTCATACTCCTCAATCAGGTCCTGCATCGTTCTCTGCTGGTTTCCCAATTTATTCTTTTCACTCAACATACAGTCAAGTCTTTTTCTTAGGCTGCTGATGTAGTTTTCGAACAGAGGGTTCAAGTCTTTCTTAACCATTGGAATCTTCTGGTTTTGCAGCAGCTCCCACTTGGTTACCAATATCTGGTTCCTTTGTTCCAGGTTTTTGACCTAAAATGCAGTGAGGATAAAACTTGATATATTGCTGATCAGTTCCTGAGGCTTTGGAAAGCAAACAAGTAATACAACTTTTTAGACTTTAGCCAGGAAAGGCTAAAGCCCCTTTGACCTGCAAGCCTCACCTGGCCTGTACGATTCCCTGATTCTTCCAACCTAAGGTAACCCTCACTTACACCATTTCTTTCCCCTACACCAAAGAAAGCCCTCAGGGATCCCTCCCAACCTCTTCTCAGCAGAGAAAAGATGGTGGAAAGGAGTGGGGGTTTCAGGAACGGGAAAAGCTTCCTTGATACCACCTAGCTTGCTAGAAATTAGATGGGTGGAGATGGGGCCCAGCTTCAATCTCCTTCCACCACTTTAGAGACATACTTAATGCAGTAATGAATTCCCAGAGGAAGACCCTCTCAGATGTGGGGGGACTTCTCTTCCCTGTGATTCATTATTTGACTTAATTGGCCAGACATAGCTAATGGTCCTGGTGCAGCAGAAGCACAGCCCAAGGCAATGACTCGGACCCAGCAATAATAAACCATCTTCTCTTTGGATGACTCTGTGGGCTTGTAGGAGGAGCCCTTGATTTGTTAATGAACTTGCTGTTCTTCCATGGCACATTTGGGTGGCTCAGACTAATACCCAGTGAATGTCAGTAATTCACTGAAATGAGTCAGTGAATGTGTTGATTTTATACGTTGAACATGAACCAAAGAAACTGATGAAATTGAGACGTCCTTGTTCAGTCCCCTCTCCAGCTGCTATCAGACAAGTCAGCAATTCCTGGAAGCGCAAAGGCCGTATCAGGATGGGGAGTCCTGCTGGTCGGAATGGTATGAAACCACCATAGACTTCTAATGTCCAAGGGCCTATTTTGCATAGCAAGGATGGGCCATGTATCCAAACTTAAAGTGGGAATCTGGGTTTTAACTCCTAAAACAAGAAGCTGGGGCTGAAGTACTCCTTGAAGGAAGCAACACCCTTTGCTCTGATTACGATGGAGAACATCAGTATGAGAAGCTAAGTTCAAACCTCTTCTCAAGTGTGAAAGTGACTGAAAGATTTGGGGCCAACTTCTGTCACTTGAATCTACCTCCTAGGGTTGTGTGAGACCCATCTACAGTCCTCTAAGCTCTTTGGAGAAAGAGAATGTTAATATTAATGGCAGCAAAAGCAGAATTGATATTGAAGGCTTGTAAGTGTGTATATATGCATGTGGCTCTGTCATACATGACAGATGCCTATGTGGATGTCCCAGATATAAACAAACACATGTGGAAATGACATGCCTGTATTTTACTATGAAACATCCAATTTTACTTCAAAAATATGTGGAAATAGATTGAAGAGGTGGGAAACTTATGGTTCTTCAGATATTTGTTCAACTGCACTCCCATCATCCTCTGTTTTAAAAGTGCCAGCTGAGCCTCCTGGTAGTCTGTTCGGTAACATCTGGACCGCTGGCTCTCCACGCCTGCATCATATGCACAGGATCTGCCAGTTTAAATTCCTTCTGAGCAGAGTTTCATTTAAGGATGAGCAGCATTCATATGTAGCCTTTTCTACAAATTACTCCCATTACCTTGGAAACCCTGAGCCTTACTAAACATTTTCCAGATGTTTAAAAACACTCACTTCCTTGTATTGTTTCAGCTTTGATCTGAAGCCTGGGATTAAGCAATTCTGCATTTGAATGCTTGAGGTGGGTCCTTTGAAGTTCAGGAAGAAAGATTTGTATCTCCCTATATAGTTAAAGTAAATGGGCATGTTACCTTTCCTCGGGCTATTCCTTCTTTCCCCCTTTTATGAATTATAGGTGTAGGCAACTAGCATCAAACAGGGCTGCCAGGTCTGGACTACAAAAGTGCAGAACTGAACCTCAAGCTTCCAGAGAAGCACTGAAATGTGGTTGAGAGTTCAATCAAAACCACTCAGTGGAAAATGTGACACAGTTAATATTCTTCCACCCCACCATGCTACCAAAAAGCTCAGGGCTTCTATGGTAAAGGCCTCCTCCTTTATTTTCACAGCATCTCTCTCTCTCTCTCTCTCTCTCTCTCTCTCTCTCTCTCTTTCTCTCTCTCTCTCTCTCTCTCTATATATATATATATTTATTACAGTTTTAATTTTTTTAAAATTTAGATTAATAATTATCTCCCTTCCAGTTCCTGCATTTCTGACACAAGACGAGATGAGACAAGACAGCATCTCTATGCAGTAGATTAGGCTAAAGACAGTGAAACTCAAACTCAATTTAAACTCATGAAGCTCAGTTCAGCTCAAGAAACAACTCAAACTCAACTCATCTTCTTTGTTCGGTCAAACTGAATTTTGTATGGGTCTGTGTCTCTGTGCAGTTTCCCTCTAACACCATGGTCTTGTCTAGATCAATCTACATCTAGGTCTACTAATAAGCTGTGGACGGGGGACAGGAAACATGATGCTTTTAAAAATGTGGTATCTCCCTTGTCCACTTTTATATAAAAAAATAAATTACAGTGAGAATTCCAGACCCAGAACTCCAACCATAGAACTCCCAAATAAGGTGTGGTTTGGTCCTTGACGTTGTCAATGGGATGTCATTGATGTAACCTGCTTCAAACCTCTGTTTCACTAATCTCTCCAAACACTTTGCTTTTTCCACCTGAGTCAGTTTACACTTTGGATGGGTTCCCAGAACATGCTAAATCTGAAACCTAGGTTAACAAAACACAATTGTTGTGTGCAGGTAACATGCTAGGTCCAAACAAACAAACAATATTACAGTCTTAGTTGATGGCCTGGTCCCCACAGTATGCTGAATCACAAAATATTCAATTCTGTGTTAGCCTCCTTTAGAAACTGTGAACCATTCACTCAGGATGCTTGCAGCTACCACATCGTTTGGCAAGACATGTGCAAACCAAGCTTAGTGTCCCAAATCCTTATACATAACACAATACTCAGTACCTCCTGGGGTGAGATAATAAAACTAAGGAGACATTACAATTCCTGCCTTGAATCCCAGTATATTCAGCTATGTGTACTGTTCCTTCTGCCTCAAATTAAAATTGGGGTGGGTGGGTAGGGAAGGATGAACTCACCTTGTCAATGAAGCAAGCAAACTGGGTGTTCAGATCTTTCATTTGATCCTTCTCCTGGGCTTTGACTTGATGATCATGTGGGTCAACTCCCAGGTAGAGAGGTTCTAAGAGGTGCTTGTTAATACTAACCTCGAACAACCCCTCATTTCTATAGTTTGTATTGGGAATGTCTGGGTATCCAAAGTTGTAGCCACCTGAAAAAAAGCTATGGCCTGAAATACTTCCCATATCCAAGCTACCACCTCTACAGTTTCTCGGCTGGTGGCCCATGTAACAGGAGATCCTGTGATTTCTCCCAAAATTATGGAAACTTTTGCTGCTGTTGCCTCCTTCGAAGGTGCAGTTGGCCGAGTGATATTGTGCCTCACCGATCTGCAACCCATCACTGCAGCCAGTGGTGGAGACTGAGGTGAAAGATTTCCGGCGGTTGACATGATAGAAGAGCTGCTGGTCCATTGTGTCAGAAGGGTGCTTGGAGAAGAATGGGAGACATAGGAGGAGAACAGTGGATGGAGGAACTCCTTTCATGCAAGACCTGAAGCAACTCCTTATATGCAGAAGGAGAGACCGGATGGCAGCGTTAATTTAGGGTATTACTGGGTCTGCCTAGCCTGTCAGCAAAATCTTGACCCCAGAGGCTGTGGTAGAAAGTAAACAAAAAGTGCTAGGCAAGAATAAAAAGGCGCAAGAAGGCTCTTCTAAATGAAGTGTTGCCATTCAACATTTGCCTTATTATTGCTTCCCTTTCATTAGCATTTCCAAGGTAACTGAAAGTTCTTAGGACCAAAGCATGATTGGAGTGTGAAGTGTTTTCTCCTTCCTTCCATTTTGTATTCCATGCCAAAGGTTAGGCTTCCTTCTCTGATAGTGCCCTGAGTTTGGATGCATAGAGATCATTCCATCTTCCTGCTGTACATTTAGTAAACTGATAGCAATATAAGTGAAGAGAGAAGAGTCCTCTCCTCCCCTCCCAACTTTGCAGTAAGGAGGAAAAAAGCTGTTCAGTGCAGTGGTGAAACTGACAAATCTCCCATCAATTTCATCTCCACCAAAAATATTTGGTTTGTATTCTGTTTTTTGTACAAGTCAAGGCCTGCATTCATCATGTTCCCTGCCTATTTTCATTACAACAACCCTGGGAGGTGGGTTGTGCTGAGAGAAAGAAAGACTGGCTCAAAACCACCCAGCTGGCATTCATGCTTAAGGCAGGACTAGAACTCATGGTCTCCTGGTTTCTAATCCAACACCTTCACCACTATACCAAACTGCTCTAGAAATTAATTGCAGAGGCTCTGGGGGAAAACATTCAGATTCATTATCACTGTTTTCTTTTTCACTGACCAAATTTACTAAGATGTTCCACAATGAGCCGTATCTGTTTTGAAGCTGATCGAAAGATGCACACGTTTTGTATCCAACTGCTAATGTTTCTCTCCCAAGAGCAATGAATTCTAATAAAACTGAATATATCGTCCAAAATCCTTGTCTTTGCCCTGGAATTCCATCCACATCAAATATGAAACTTGACAGATGGTACTGCAGTATTTTTTATTATTATTATTTCTCCTTTAATTACATGTTCCTACTCCCTGACACCTGGTCTTTAAAAATTGCATTATTCAGCATGTATCCTTCTCTAAGAACATGGCAAAGAAGTCAGAACAACATTCTTTCTACTGAGAACGTGACAGACTTGCCTCTGTGCAAACGGAAGGGCTTCTGCTAATCCTTTCTTCTGGGGTTCCTCAGAAGGAAAGTGAGTATTCACCAGTTCTATCTTCTGCCCCTAACTTCACCTTCAGTGCAAGCCTGGAGAATCCAGTCAAACTGCACAAGAGGAAACACTCCATTCAGGATAAGCCTGGATCTAACTCAGTTTTTACAATGTTTGCCAATATTATTGATAATCTTTGGTTTGGAAGACCAGAATCAGAGAATATGCAGCCATGGAAAAATTGACTATATATTAGTAACAGAAGTCTAACCAAATTCAATCAGGAATGGCTCTCTTATATACAAGATACCACCCAGCCAGGAAATTTAAGACTTAGAATATGCTTTTTTGAAGAAAAGGAGAAACTGTTAAAAATAATTAAAATGATCTAAACAGAAATGAGTTATAATTGTAGAACTTTAAAGCATAGTATAAAAATACGTAAGTAGCAGGTAGCATTGGGGGAAAAAGAAAAGAAAGGAGGGGAAAAAAAGAACAAAAGTGAGGGCCTACTTGAATGCTTTTTCTTATAGACGCATATTTTTCTGTTTTGTTTTTTATTTTTTTAATTGTTTTCATTTTTATTAATCACTACATCTTTTGAACTCTCACTACAACCCTCACCTCAATGTAAAGCTTCTGCAGCAGGAATACTATTATTATTTTTCTTTTTAAAAAGGATCAATACCAACATAGATGGGTTAGGGATTATACTACTATGTATACAATTATATCTATGTATACAATTATATGTATGTATACTATTCCTTTACCCCTTTTTTCTTTCTTTCTTTTGATTTTTCTGTTGCTTTTTACTTATTAAGAATATTTTTTTTAAAAAAGGATAATCTTTGATGAATGCCAACACTTATCAGCAGTGACCCGTATTAGTCATTCACACCATGACGTGGGACTCAAAGAAAAAGAATCTTAGCAATAAACAGCAATGACATTGCAATTAAAACAAATTTAATCAGTAGCCTTTTCCAAATACACCCCCTGTGCCAGTTATGATTTTTCTGCCACAAAATGAATTGGAATGATTATGTTAATAAAATAGATAATGGAGCAGCTACGCAGATAAAGGTGGTGGTGCTTGATTTTGAAGGAGCCTATGCTTAGTGATTTACATTCGGTACAGTGCCAGCATTATAAAGAGCACATTACTGTTCGTGCAGATTATTTTAATAATACATAGCGTAATTACAGATTGCGTTTGCCAATTAACTCTTTCAAAATGTTAAACAAATGCAAATTAATGTTTACACTACCCTGTTCTAAACAGGGACAGATCATTGGGCGCTTGAGGGAAGAACTTACATTTAATTAAAGTTTCCTTCCTGTGGAGGAAGATACTTCTTCCTGTGAGATGCAGGAAGTGCAGGCAAAACAGAGACTCGCCTCTGTTGTATCCCCTCTCAATCCTACATCCCCCTTGCCTTCCACTGAGAATTAAGGGCCCATCATGACCCATGTCAGCCTTTCGCCATGAAATGATAGAGACCTCAACCATGATCTCTGCTGCCCAGCCTCAGGGCAAATGGGCATGATAATACCCAATAGGGAACCCTACACACAAACCCAGGCCTGATTATAAGTTTTTTTATAATTAACATATAGAAATGGCTGCACCTGCCCTCCTAAACAACATCCTGCCCAAGGATCGGCTGGCCCTGACTCTGGTCAATTTTTGGAAAGCCTTGAAGACCTGGTTGTTTTCTCAGGAACAGGGCTGGGAGAGTAAGTGAGCCCCTGCTATTAGTGAATGGTGTTTTTGAGAGCCACTTGGTGTTAGTTGGTTGGGAATGGTATTTTTTTTTATATAAAAAATTCCCCTCTCACCTCCCTGGATGGTGTGTGTCTTCCTCAATCTCAGGTCCTCTACCAGAGGCCTGGGAGTTTGAGGGTTCTGCGCAGGATCTTAGCTGTTCCCAGCACTGCACTCTTCTGGACAGAGAGCTCTGAGGTTGTTCCTGGGATCTGTTGGAGCCCCTCTCCCAACTTAGGAGTCACAGTC